GGGAATTAGGATAAAGCTGAAAAGACCCAGGCCATCCAGCCACAACGGATAGACCAGGCATCAGTATATGGTTCAAAAATCCACAGGTGGGCATTCATCTTACCCGCCTCATGTCAGGATCACTTGTGTTGACCACTTTGGGCAGGAGCACAAATATCAACAATGGAAGAACCATCATCATAACCTGTGGGGGAAAAAATTCAGAAAATGTTTTTCCCACTTAACAGTAGAACAAAACGTGCACTTAGCAACCAGTGATAAAATTAAAGATTTAAATGTTGTATATAGAATAAAACTAGCAGCAACCACCTCAACTCTGATGAATGAGCCCTGTTGATAGCAAGGTACTCCACGATGTCTGACGGTTGCAGAATTTAAGAGCCTTATCTATACGTGTTTGGATTTTATAGATACCTCACTCCATATTTGTGCCACCTATCATTTTTACAGTTTACAGTTTTATTTAACACAAATAATTTGCAGAGAGAACTAGCTATTCCCTTTCTTCAGTCCGCAGTCTGGCACCAAGATTGGTGATCCTGATGGCCAACTGGGCCTCTTTCCAGATGACTGTAGTTCTTGAAGGAAACACTATATTTCCCCTCTCATTAATGTGCATCCCCTAAATCTGCAACATAGTACTAGGCAACTACTTTTGCAGATGACTTTCAAAAAACAACCTAGGAGCTTATAGTACTGGATATACTTCCATGGAATTTCGGAAATGAGAACATGGAAGATATTCCTCAGTAAGTTTTGGAGTCTCATTGCTGACTTCTCCCATGCACTCTGCCCTCCTGCTTCTTTATCCCACATAGGAGATTCTAGGTACTAATTTATTCCTATTTAGAGCAAACATTCCTATCTGTAATCTAAATAGCTATCAGCAAGGCATATGATCAAAACTTAAGCATTTCTAACATAATTCAGCTTTCAAAAATAGCAACAAAAAAGTCAATTTGTTTCTAAAGAATGTATTCTATTAGTGTTATTTTAATTAGTGGGTAGCATCACATCAGTTTCATAATACCAAATATGTACTAAAATTACCATAGAATAACTTCTCTGGTCATTACACAGGCCAAAAAAAAAAAGAGGAAAAAAAGAAACTTACTTATGCCATCAATAGGGGCTGGCTAGTAATTGATGGCACATTCATCAATGCAGGTTGTATGAAAGAGGAGACAGTCATCACGGATATGACTTACCACATATTCTTACTCTATTTGAATTTTAAAACATTTCATCATAAATAAGTATTTATCCAATTTCTGTTGCACATTTCAACATCAAATCTACCATGCAATTCCCACTATATTCTTTTCATTATATAGTCACCAAGCCACAAATTATTCACAATTATCCTTCATCCAACAATCTGACTTCAGCTTTCTATCTCGCAGGGGTTAGAAGTGTTCAACTGCCTGGAAGCAAATTAGAGATTAGTAAAGATATTATACTGTAGCCTGATACATACCATTGGGTTCATCAAAAAGTCTGTCCAGCCCCATGACTCCCTTTTAATAAAGTAAGAAGGTGGACCTGAAGATTTCATTTGGAGAGGATAGGGCAGTCTGACCACTTCTGATGTTTTGATGTAATTCACATATCTTGCTCTGATAAAGCAACACGAAAAAGCATCAGTAATTCTACTAAAAACATTACTAGTTAAAAGAACTGCTTATATTAGCATTGCCTTATAATTACCTTTAGCTTTTTCCAAATACTTTGGTATCTAAACTTTTGATCTTAAAAATCTGATGAAAGTAGCATTATCTATATCACTAAAATATTTAGCAAAATGTAAAGAACACAGGACCTGGAATCAAGAGACCTAGTTTCTAGCTGTAGCTGTTATTACCTGGGCCTGTGGGTTTAGACAAGTTCTCAACTTCTTTGGTTATATCAAAAGTTCTTTTAGACTCCTCCCAGCTTTAAAGTTCTTTAAATATATTTAGTAATGAATTTATTTTATTAAAAATGTACCAAAAATGCTGGATTTGATTTTTTTGATTATCTGAGATATGCACTATTGGGTGCACCCAATTTTCAAGGCTATACTGCAAGAAAAATTTATGATTTAAGGCAGTCCCACAACAGTGTTATAGGTAACACTATGTTTTTACAGAGATGTCACTAATTTTAATCAAAACTCTCACCTATGTTCGTTCACACATATTCCAGCTTACTTTTTGAAAACTGCCTCCCCTATTTTCTCTATCACTTCCTTCTGGAACTTCTGCTTGACATGTGTTAGACCGTTTCATTCTTTACTTCACATCTTGTTAAATTCTCACTTTCACAGTATCCATTCCTTTATCATATTGTATTCTAGGTTAATTTTTTTCTGATTAAGGCTTCAATTCATCAAACTCTGTTCAGTTGCTTAACACATTCATTGAGTTTTGTATTCCAATGCCTACATTTATTGTAGAGACTCTATCTTATCATTTTTTCAAATATCTATGGTCTATTTTGGTAGTATCTTATTTCTTATGGCAGAAAGTTATTTTATTACTTTAAGCATTTTAAATACACCTTCAACTATTGTATAGTCCATATCCAATAATTCTGCTATCTAAAAGTTCTTGGAGGTCTGATTCATCTGCTAACTCAATGTATATTGTTTTCTTGGGTATTTTATAAGTTAAGTAAACTTTATTTATGTGTGGGCCTGGATAGAGAGTATCTCCCTCCAGAGAGGTTATGAATTTGTCTCTGCCAAGAGCCCAGGGTTATGACCAGGGACCATCTTATTAGTTGCTCAGCTTGGAGGTTTCTGGATCATGCAGGAAGTAACTAACTCAACCTCAAATTTCAATGAGGGTAGGACTATGACTATCAATGTTTAGGAGACACTCCCCCACGCCCCGCAAAATGAGGGACAGACTGTGAGTCTAGTCTTTCGGGTTTCAGTACCAAGGGTCGAAAGGAGAACCAAGTCTTAGATCTAATTCTAAGATGCCAAGCAAGTCCAAGGCTTGCTTCCTACCTGCACACTAATAAAATCCAAGCCTTTTGGATAGAGAATATCAAAACCTCCATGTGGGAAAGTGGTTTATAGCTTATCTCTTAGGGATCTGCCTCACTTTTTTTGGAGCTATACATTCCAAAGGAAATGTCTGTCATATTTTACCCAGCATTTCTAAGGTTTTTCATTCTGCCAAAATGTCAGAAACAGAAGTCCCATATATATTTGAAACTAACTTACCAAAATATGCTTAAAAAACATTGGTCAAGAATATTAGGATCTTATATGAATCGCACTTTGTTCTCTACTCTGTCCCACCTCCAATTATTAAAATGATGAGGGCCTGGTTTTTGGTTTTTTTCAACCGATGCTTCAGGCACCCAATCATCAGGAATGGATGTGAGACTATGAATCTCTGCTGCAATAAATCCTTAAATGCTAAAACATGAAGTACTCTTTACCCAAGGTAAAAAGCAAGTAAAATTTATATTTAGAAAAATATTTCTATTTGCTTAAGACTACTTTATTCAAAATTGAAATAGAGTAAAAAGAATAAAAATAAATTAGTTTTAAATAGACAAGTATCCCCTTTTAACAACTCTCATTCCCTCCAGTATTCAGTGTTTTCAATATTAAAAAAATTTTTTAACTTACATATAATGTATACTGTAATCTATATATCACCCATGTCTAAGCTTGCAATTCAAAATATATAAATAGTCATGATAGATCCTTTAAGATTTAGATTTACATACTAGAATTTTACATATATATGTATATAAATATATATATATGTATGTATATTAGATCTTCATGCCTCTAAAACGACATGAGAAAGTCAGTACCTAATGAGATTCATCTACTTTGAAACAATCCATTTATTCCCTCAAAGGATATTTATAAACATATTTGCAAGGTATTACCTTTAATTCAAGCTTCACCCCGCTCTAAACAGCCAACAGCAAGAAATATAATTAGAATTGAGACAAAGTAGATTAATCTAAGACAATAGCTGAACTTCAAAAAGAGGGGAAAAGTAGGGCTGGCCAGTGACGCGTTGGTTAAGAGCTGGCTTGGGACGCCAGAGGGCCCCGGTTCGGATCCCACATATGAGGGCCAGTGACACTGCCCTCCACAGCTAAGATGCTGAANCAACATGGGCCAGTGAAGCGACGTCCTCCACAACTAGACTGAAGAACAAAAGGACAGCAACTTGTCTGTTCCCCTTCCCCTGATTCCCCAGCGCTGTCCCCATCCCCCAATTCCCCAATAAAATCTTTAAAAAAAATGGATAACATCTATTCTAATTCACATATCCATACTCTGAAACTTAACTGTAATAATAAAAATTGAAACAACACCAGTAACAACAACATGTGGTCCTACATCAAACATCAGGGTATGTTAAATGGCAGGGCAAGGCTGAGAATTTTGAAAGGTCTGGCTAACACAAAAAAACATGGTGCATGCTGTTCTAAAAACATAAACCACTTCTTTTTAAGCATAAAGGGTCCATTTCAAGCCTTAGATAATGAAAGATAGAAGAAAACTGAAATAAAAGAAACATTAAATGGAAAAAAAAAGACAAGATAATTTTATCTCTGGATTAAGACATTTTAATATACATAATGTATAGTACTTCATATAATTTATTAATGTCATTTTCTATAGGACACTGTAATAAAATTCAGTGACATCAATATTGACCTCATACAGACAAAGGATGAAAGCTGGGTTTTCTTGTGTACCAGGTACAAAACATGTACAGAAGAGTTATCACACACAACAGTTATAAGAGATCAACTTTAAAGATGACTCAAGTTTACAGTAGTTGCTTCACACAGTTTTCCCTCAAGATTTGGATGCCACCCAGTGTTGCCATGTCTGTGCAAATGCCAGCTCTGGACCACCCAACTACCTCCTTTTGCCAGCCCCACTTTTGCCTGTTTTACTGCTGCCGCTGCTAGACTTGCCAGATGATTTTGAAGAGAAGAGTCGTGTCATGAACTCAGAAACATCAGGTAACTCGTGGTTGGAATTCAGCATATTCATTGACTGCTCCATCTCCTGCAGGAAGATAAAGCACAATTATATGAAAGGCACAGGATCCTTTGAGTCACTGAACAACTAACATTTCCATTAAGGAAGGAGAGGCCTAAAACAAATAAAAGGCACTGGTTCTGTGCAACAATGCAATGTCATATCCAACAGCACTTCAGAAACCATGTTCCATATTCTCATTTATACCACTAAGCATTTTCATCCTTAGTAAATGTCCAATAAATGCTTGCCTAGGATTTAATTCAGCTTCTGTTTTTATAAAGAGCATTTTCTCTGATAATAGACATATGTGATCATATTTCTGCCACCTTATTTTATGTTTTCTGGTTAAAATGCTTTCTTACTGCTTTAACGAGTGTTTAAAACTCATGGTTTCTTTAGATACATGTAACCAGAATATCAAGGTATCAGACAAGTCTGGAAGATAACTGCAGTATTTCCAAGACTTGATTCTCAAGAACCTTAGTATAAGAAGTCTATGCTGTATGACTCAGATGACCTGACTTACAGCATCTAAAGTGAGCAACACAAGTGTTACTAACAAGTCACTGGCAGGACAGGATAAGGATTTGGCACAGTCTTTTTTGAGGTTTTGTCATCTCCCTTATTGAGCCAACAACCTATAAAGTACTGTTCCACTCTCGACAATATTAACGTAATATCTGCTTCATTCGAATTTTATGTGACATTCCAAAAGTGAATTTAAAATTGTATTAGTTCAGACATGACAAAAATAGCAAATATAATTATTATCTATTATTTAAAACTAAACAACATGTGGGTACTAGCTTGGGCTTTCTCCCCAAAGGTAGAGTTTATACATGGGTTTTCATAGACAAAATGCTTTTACAAAAAAGGTCAGAAAAAGAAAATTATAAACATAAATCAAATATGTTAACATGCCCTAAAAATCAAGAATGTATTATGTATGTATTAAATGTATATGGTAATAAGGTCTTGAGTCCCTGCAAAAATATATCAACTCTATTTTTGAATCTGTTCAATTCTGAAGCTCTTGAATGGATAACTTTTTATATTGCTTACCATGTGCAAAGCACTTTGCAAGTAATGAACTTCTGATGTTGCCTTCTGTTGTTGCCACAGAAAGTTAATTGGCTTAACAGATATAAGGATTGCATAGGATGTATACTTTCTGGCCAACACTGAAGCAGAAATGCCAAAATTTAGCAATAAAATATTTTGAAACATCATAAAGCTTTTTTTTCCGTGACGCTTTTTCTGCCATTCCAACTTGCAATAAAATGCCTTACCTTTTACAGAACTTACAAGCAATCATCTGCTATCCTACCTCAGAAAACATTTTTGTTTATTTTATGTATATCTTATTTTCCCAATGAACACACACACACACACACACACACACACACACACAAGTTTTTTTATAAATCCATTCTATTTCCTACATTTAACTGGATTATAAGTTTGTTAATGACAGTACCCAGAACCTAGAAATTGATTAATACATGTTTTTACAGCAATGAATAAGATGTCAACACATCAATATATTAAATAAAATGGAAAAACTCAGAAGATATTTGTTGATGGTTTTTGGGTGCGAGAATG